TTTTTGTATACAAATCCGCAGATTTCTTTTTCTTCTTTTTAATGCCTCATGACAGTAGAAGTTATTCAGACAGGACTAAAATGCCCCTCAGAGCACTTTCTTGTGTATCTGCATTGGTTCCAGCACTCTCTTGCCTTGTGAGTTAACTACTTGGAGTGCAGTTTGCTCATCTATAAAATGGGGGAAATAATTGTACCTACATTACAAGCTTGCTAGGAGAAACACGTGCAATGAATAGAGACAAATGTATGTATCTCCCAGCATGGTGTCAGTGCATAGCAAGGTCTCAGTAAGTCAGTACACTAAACCTACAAGATTAGTGAGGAAATGGAGCAGGGGCTTTGGAGATTTTCTTCTCATGTGTTTCCTTATGTTTGTCTGCTTAAGGAAAATGTCATAAAACAGCATATGTATTGAAACTGAAAACTACTCCAAAAGGGTCTATTTGTAAAGCCATGAAAATATTAACTGTTGTGTGGATTATACTGCCAGATCCTCAACAGTTTAGAATTAACACCTGGTGTTGAGTGGATGGAAAAGAAGTTTCGTTGTCATTGTGGATATCCAAAATGTTAAAATGTAAGGAAACATTTAAAGATCAAATGTTGGGCAGCCCAGGTGGCTCAGTGGTTTAGCGCCACCTTCAGCCAAGGGCCTGATTCTGGAGACCCGGGATCGAGCCCCACATCGGGATCCCTGCATGGAGCCCACTTCTCCCTCTGCCTGTGTCTCGGCCTCTCTCTCTCTGTGTCTCTCATGAATAAATAAATAAAATATTTTTAAAAAAATAAAGATCAAATGTTTTGTGGGCGCCTGGGTGGTGGAGTTGGCTAGGTGTCTGATTCTTGGTTTTGGCTGAGGTCATGATCTTGGGGTTGTGAGATCAAGACCCGCATTGGGCTCTGCACTCAGCAGGGAGTCTGCTGGAGATTCTCTCTCCCTCTGCCTCTGCCCCTCCCCACAACCCCCCATCCCTGTGAGCAAGCTCTTTCTCTCAAATAAATAAAATCTTAAAAAAAAATTCAATGTCTTGTCTGAACTCAGCTATTGATGTAGTATTGGACCTTATGTAAATTCACCTTATGTTAATTGACCAGAAGTCTCAGTGATAACATCAATAGTCAATTAACATATTTAGTATGTTCTATGTATTATATACTATGTTCTTAAAATAAAGTAAACTAGAGAAAAGATGTTATTACAAACTCATAAGGAAGAGAAAATACATGTATGGTTCTGTACTGTATGTATCAAAAAAAATCCACATGCGAGTAGACCTGCACACTTCAAACCCATGTTTATCGGGTCAATAGCACTTTAAAAAATCTTTCTTTTTTAAGATTTTATTTTTTTATTCATGAGACACACACAGAGAGAGGCAGAGACATAGGCAGAGGGAGAAAGAAGCAAGCTCCCTGCAGGGAACCTGATGTGGAACTCGATCCCAGAACCCCAGGATCATGACCTGAGCTAAAGGCAGACACTCAACCACTGAGCAGACACTCAACCACTGAGCCCCTCCCCACAAAAAATCCTTTAAGTTTAATCTTTGTCTTTCCTGTCACTTACCCAGAGTAGAATAAATATTTGTTGTTGTTTTTATCCTTTAACCTCACCTCATCCCACTGCAGGAGTAGAACCTTGAAAGCATCTAGGAGTCGTCTGAGAAGCAATCTTTTCTTTCTTGTCCGCATCACAGTTGTGGTAAATGGAGGGAGGGGATCTTGTTCATCTGACCTTGGCAGATCCAACTGGAACTAACCAGCTAATTTCTGGACCCAAATGGTACAGAGAAAGTGCAGCTAATCTGTGGCTCAGCTTCATGCCATACTAAACAGGCTAGTGAGGCTCGCACAGAGTAGCAGAAGATGAGTAGCATCATGGCTTCATGTTGGAAAAGCACAGGCAGCGTAAATATGCAAATCTGCATTTCTTTTAACAAGCCTCTGTGCTTTGCAGGCAGAAGAGGGGAATTGGTTCTCCATTTTGTATATAGAAATGGTTGGGATTAGTTGGAGGCAAATGGCCTGTACTGCAACCGACTTCTTGTTCTCTCCGTACCCCCCTCCGCATTGGGCAATTCTCCTGCCTTTTCCCAGCGGGGCACCAGTGCCTTTAGGTTTTCTGCGTCATCATCTCTAAACTTGGTCTCATGCCTCTCCTTTCCACGAGGGTCTAAAAGACTGCTAACAGCTGAAAGTGTTGTGCTCCCTCCAAATGTTTCCATTTCAGTAGGGGACCAGTCTCAGCACATGGAGGAAAAGTCCCCGGGGTGGAATTTTTACTAGAATTCATTTTGGGGTTTGGAAGGGTGTGGTGCAGTGGAGAGTGTTCCTGGTTATATTTAATCTTTCAACTGCTCTGACTTTGTAATTCTTAGGCTTTGCTTTCTGTACTCCTCCCTAGAGACGTCTTCTAGCTCCTTCCTGTGGAGTGCTTAGTGCTACAAAATGAGAAAAACAGTATCCATGGGTAAACTCTAGTGTATTGGCCTTTTCTAAAAAGGAAACTGTATAGTCCAGGCAACTTCCCTCGCGCAGATGCAGTGACTCTTGCTGATGCAAGTTTCATTTTCTGATTAGGTTATTTGTCCTAATTTCAGCCAAGTACCCATATAAGTGAATCATGGCACTATTGCCACATATAGGCAGTCAGTTACCCTGGATAAGGAGCAACAGAAAAAGGGGGAGGTTTTTATCACAGTTTTTGCTCTCATGCCTTATTCTGCTAATATTTTCTTCTGCTTATTTCACACTCTACCCGTCTCCACCACACCTACCGAAGACACACATCCACATGCACACACCTTTTCATGCTCCTGTTAGGAATGATGGGCTAAAAACAAGTGAATTTCTTGCTTTGTTACCATTTTGGCATACATGTCATTAACACTTTCCCACTGATGTGCTCTAAGGGAGGTTAAGTGAATCTGGAATCCTCTGGGATACTAGATACTCTCTCCAGGGTCTGCTGCATCTTGTTCAGCCAGACTTTGGCAGACTAAAACAGAATGCCTATCCATTTATTCCTGGACAACTTTGAATCTAATATTGTGGCATTCAGAAACATATTTGTGATGTAATATCATTTGACTCTTTAGTAATATTGAGATTACCTCTTTACTAAAAGTAGATTAGTGTGTAATTTTTATTCTTTTAAAGATCTATTTATTAATTTTAGAGTGAGAGAGCATGCACACGTTCACACGTGTGAGTCGGGGGAGGGGCAGAGGAAGAGAGAAAATCCTGAAGCAGAGTGCCTGAGGAGCACAGAGCCTGGGGCAGGACTTGAACCCAGGACTCTGAGACTGTGACCTAAGCCAAAATTAAGAGATGACAGTTTAAAAAAAAAAAAAGAGAGAGATGACAGCTTAACCAACTGAACCACCCAGGCGCCTCTAACATGTCGTTTTTAGATGTGATTGGGCTCTTCAGTCATATTGTTTGAATGCAAAACATTCATTAATCAAATGAGTAGTACAGTCGTGAATCCCAGAATAGGCAGACTTCTGTCGGCTCATATTTGCTTATATTATCTATATTGACACCTCTTCCCAGTGTGAAAAAAAATGGCCACTATATATTTTCATTCTAGAGACAGAGTTTAGGTCTTAAAGAATATGTACACAAAGAAGACAGAATTTTGTCTTGACGTGGCTTCCAGAAAACATACAGATTAGCAATGACGTGGATGGCTCTGAATAATAGGCCCATTACCAATCATGTCCCACATGAAAAGGTATGTTTTATTCCTATCGCTGCATCTGGGAAAAGAATATTCAAACTTCTATAACTCCTGGAATGAAATGTTTTTAGAAGGTACATTTCTGGGATCCCTGGGTATCTCAGCGGCTGAGCGTCTGCCTTCGGCTCAGGGCATGATCCCAGAGACCTGGGATGGAGTCCCACATTGGGCTCCCTGCATGGAGCCTGCTTCTCCCTCTACCTGTGTCTCTGCCTCTCCCTGTGTGTGTGTGTGTGTGTGTGTGTGTGTGTGTGATAAATAGATGGATACGGTTTTTTAATAAAAGAAGGTGCATTTTCATCCAGAACCTGGGCATCTGGTTTCCTATAGATAAATATATCTACATCCTTGGCTGGCAAATTAATAGATTGTACCTATGATTCAAAATACTTCTAGTTTCAAATACACATGTATGAGACTAGAATAATTCTCCATACATTTTAATGCATTGAATACACTGATAGAACAATTAATCTGTACTTAAAACAACAGCTGACTGGTGGTTTCACTAGGGACAGTAGCATATCAGAATGAAGACAAAGTGAAATATAGTATTTATTTCATGTTTTATTGCTGACAGTTGAATAGTATTAGGAAGGCCAGAGGTCACATCTGGAAAAGTCACCTGAGGCCAGGAAGAGCCAGCACAGTTTCAGATTCATGAAGACAAACCAAGAGGGGCAAGGTCAAGCAGCAGAGACCAGGAACAGAGGCTGGGAGCAAAACGCAGGCCTGGAGAACTCTGGGTGGCATGGATTTAGCATCCCAGGCTGTTGGGACCCAGTGGGTGGTAGCAGGGAGGATGAGGAGCACAGGAAAGGCAGTGTGGGTAGTGGCTGTACTGAATCCAGTGATTGAACTATGCCCTTGGCAATGTGTCAGAAAGGCTCCACCACCTTCTTCATGGACTGTAAGGACTTTATGTAGGTGACGGGCATGAACTGTAACCCATACATTCGGGTTTCCTGGAACTGGGCTGCGTATTGACATGCCTAGGTTTGCTGGGGACCCTGCTTCTCAGCTTGGCTCTCATTTCCCATCACTGCTTCACTTTGACTCACTGATGGCCTGCCACATGTAATTAGGTGGCTCAGCTGCTGCTTTCACTTCTCCCAAAGGTATACATACAGAGATTTGGGTCTTGGCTTTTACATTTTTTTCTCCTGAGAGCCGGAGGAAGTGGCCTTTTGATAGTATAAAGGTTTGCTGAGTTGAATACTTACAGTGTCTGACAGTTTCAATTTCCTTTCTCATAGGTATTTGATCCTGATGACCTTTATTCAGGGGCCAACTTCTCCAAGGTCCTCAGTACTCTTTTAGCTGTCAACAAGGCAACAGAAGGTAAGCAGGGTTTTTGATTTATGAGTCATACATGACATGTTAGGATCCACAGGCTTCTCATTCCCCTGGGAGCCAACTGTGGCCAGGATTGTTCAATTGGTGCAGATTTCTCCTCTCCTCGAAAATAAATCGCAGTGGATGTCAACATGCTTTCATTGTTCATAGCTTAGGATTTAAACATGCCTATCACAGATGTTCCTGTAATGCCCCCCATATAATGGCAAGAGCCAAGAAACCATTTCGTTCAAAGCTACGGAATAAGCAACAGAGTGTAACAAGACAGAAAATGAAAAGGAAGAAACCAGTTCTCTTTTTCATGAACTTTACAGAAGATAGCTGTTACTTCCCTGTCCCCACTAGAGCATGTTTTTCTCAGAGATTTTTGTGTGTATCTGTCCATGTAAAGGAAGCCATCAGTAACCTGGCCCTAGAAATGGAATCTCAGGTTCATAGGGACTGGAAAAAAATTTTTTTATTTGAACGTTTAATAGCTACCACATTGGACATATTGAATGTAAAGCCTAGTAAATGTGAAGAAAATGCTGATACCTTGGAGTATAGCTTCACTCCTATGAGACACCACCTTACCTACAGCTGGGTGGGAATAACCAGAGTTAAAATGCTTGAAGCCCTCACCATGAGTCTAAGCAATTCTTTTTTTTTCTTAAAGATTTTATTTATTCATGAGAGACCCACACAGACAGGCAGAGACATAGGCAGAGGGAGAAGCAGGCTCCCTGTGGGGAGCTCGGTGCGGAACTTGATCCCAGGACCCTGGGATCATGACCTGAGCCAAAGGCAGATGCTCAACCACTGAGCCACCCAGACATCCTGGGTCTAAGCAATTCTAAGAGCCATCGTTGGTCTCATCTTTGAAACAACTCTGGGGGTAGGTATTATGATTAGGTCCATATTTCGGATAAGAGAAGTGAGGCCCACAGTTGCCCAGTTAGAAAGTAAGTGGCAGAACTGGGATTCAAACCTACATCGGACTGACCCTGGGACCCTTATGGCCGAGCATGGGTCTTGATGTTCACACTGTTGGGAGAGTCCATAGGCTGTGTGCTCAGCACTGCCAGGTGCTACAAAGGAAGTGTCAGCTATGGTCCCCACCCTTGAGAAAATGACTGTCTATTTAGGGACACTCAACTTACCCACATGAAACAATTAGCGAACAAGAGCAGACAATATAGTCAAGTGCCAAATAGAATGGAGCATCTAGGAAGCTATCAAGTAATTATAGTTTTAGTCAAAAGAACTGTATATAATAGCAATAAATGTAAAAATACTTCTCTAGAGTTGTTCTTTTGCTATTTGGGAAAAAAATGCTTTTGAGCTATTGCAAGGCGTATAGCAGAAAGTACAGCTAATTCAAGTAACTATATTTAACACACATGACAACTACCCAGTGCTGGGCAGGGAGGATCGTATAATTCTAACATTATGCCATACAAATTATACGTTCCTTTGCCAAACTCTGCTAGCAAGTTTTACAGTCTCTTCCCTTGCCACAGATATTTATAAAATACAAGGAGGTGAAAGTTAAAATCCACAGCATCAAGGAAATTACTTGGATACTGAGCTTGTCGCCTAGGGAATGTTTGGGCTTTAGACTTTTGCAGTTTATGTCTTTTAAAAATAAATGGAGAGGAAAAGAACCCTCATTTGAATTTGTCAAAGAGCCAGCTCCTCTCTTTAGCACACTGTCAGCGTACAGAAAACATCCAGCTCAGTGCTGGTCTGATCAAATTTCACAAGGTTTCAAGGAAGAGAAGATTCTTGAGTCCGATTTTTTAAAAGAAGAATACTGGTATCAAGATTGCGTCTTTCCCAGATATCTCGGATTATCCTTCTCCACCCCCCCCACCCTGAGGCTCTGGGGGAGAGTTTACATTACATCCGCCACACATACTGCTGCCTACGAGGAAGACAAGAACCACCCAGTTAAGGGCCAAAACACAAAGAGAGAAGTTTGAAATATTTCAAAGTAATAAGAGCCACAAACAGCTGTTTGGTACCCAATATAGTTCTGCCTTGGATAACAGGGCGTACTGTTGCAACTGGTTTAAGAGAGGAGAGTTGTAGGGAAATGGGTTAAGAGAAAATGTGGCTCTGTCGCTGTTTTTCATTCTACTGGACAGCAATGGCCAGTAAGGTTACGCAGAAGGAAGTTGGCCACCAAGATGGAGGGAGGGGGAATGAAATACCCTTGGCATGTTCCTAATGGTAACAGTGAGGAGGACAGCCAGGGTGCCTTCGATAATGTCCCATGAAAGATGACGTTATGTTGTAGCAGTGTTTCTGACAGGAGTGGTTCCTTTTATCTTGCCTTTTCCTCTTTTCACAGATCAGCTATCAGAAAGACCATGTGGACGTTCTTCTCTTACTGCAGCTAATAGTTCTCAGACAAACCCACAGGGAGGAGTTGCTAGCACAGCTCCAGGCCTGCAAAGGCAGTCAAAGACAGTGGTAAGTATAGAACTCAATTCCCCTTGCCTGTTTTAAACTCTGTAAAATGAGATCCCTATCCTGGTTTCATCTGCATATGTGGTGAGATAGCCGGGTCTGTGTGTTTGGGGCGTCGCCCACAAAATGACTTTGAAACCCAGCGCCAGTTCGGGCTGGCCCACTGGCACCCATCAAAGGTGTGTGAGCCAGAGGGTCAGAGTGTTGGGGTTGAAGCCCCAGAGATGTTTTCCTTCCTTGAACTGAGTGAGTTGGTTCACAGAGAATGCTATGCAACTGGAAGTCCTTATAACTACTTCCTAATGGCAGTTTGCTGTTGTTTCCTCTACCCCTGGTTTATTAGGAGAACTAAATTGTGCCTAGCACAAAATAGGCAATCAATATATATTACTTGCTCTCATCATCGTTATTGTCATTTTATTTTTCTCTTTGCATTCCTAGTGAGCCTGTGGGGAGCTTGCGCACTGGCATAGCCCAGTTATCTTTGCTTTTGGTCTTAATGGGAGCTTCTATTTGGGAGGAACCACCTATCTTTTGCTCTTTTATTCCTTGTCAGAAGCCACCCACTCCCTTTAAGCCATCAGGAGCTCTTACTTCCAAAGCACTTTAACTACTTCCAAATTGCTTAATTAACCTTTTGGGATCAGGATGCCTTTGAGGAGCTGATGAACTCTATGGTCCCACAGCCCTGGGACCCTCACAGATTGTGTGCAAAATCTCCTGTGTGTGAATTTATGCATGTGTGTCTTGGGTAAAGATCCGTTGTGCTCATTAGTTTCTCTAAGGGACCCATGAGAGGTTAACAACTCCCGATTTAGGTAACTATGGGGTATTTGATGTTTGCATATGACTAAAGCACAGCCAATTTAAGATATTCTTAGCAATTGGGAGGTGGGAGGCTGATTTTATGGGTAGATTAGTACCTAATCTTGGCCGTATAATTATGTAAGACCCTGTCTGCCTGTTGGTAGAGGCAGGGTGGAATAGTTTATCACTCTACTCTGTTTCGCAGTTCATTTAAATAAGTATCTTTAGGTAATTGGCGAGGGAGAGGGAAATGAAAGCTATGGCCTCCTTCAAAATATACATTCTCACAAATGCAAAAGGTCGTGCGTGCTTCCAAGTGTCTTATTAGCCTCCCCTCACCCCCAGTCCCACTCCTCAGCTAAAAACTCAGGACTCAAGATTGAGGTAGACCTGGGGTTTCATCCTTGGCCACCCCACCTTCTTTGCCTCAGTTCATTTAATTCCTGCCCCTGCCTCATGTAGATGAGTGCTTAATCTGGTGTTTTTTTTTTTTTCTCTTAGGAGATGACGGAAAATGGGAGCCATCAGTTGATAGTGAAGGCAAGATTCAACTTTAAGCAGACGAACGAAGACGAATTGTCCGTTTGTAAAGGGGACATCATTTATGTCACCAGAGTTGAAGAAGGAGGCTGGTGGGAAGGCACGTTAAATGGCAGAACAGGCTGGTTCCCCAGTAATTATGTCCGAGAAATTAAATCCAGTGGTAAGTGGGTCTTTTAAGAGCCTTCTTTTTTTAATTTTTATTTATTATTTATGATAGTCACAGAGAGAGAGAGAGAGAGAGAGAGAGAGAGAGAGAGAGAGAGAGAGAGAGGCAGAGGGAGAAGCAGGCTCCATGCACCGGGAACCCGACGTGGGATTCGATCCTGGGTCTCCAGGATTGCACCCTGGGCCAAAGGCAGGCGCCAAACCGCTGCGCCACCCAGGGATCCCTTTTAAGAGCCTTCTTGAACGTGACTCTTGTACTTTCTTGTATTTCTACTACAAATCTTGTACTTTTTAAAAAAGATTTTATTTATTTATTCACGACAGACACACACACACACACACACACACACACAGAGGCAGAGACACAGGCAGAGGGAGAAGCAGGCTCCATGCAGGGAGCCTGATGTGGGACTCGATCCCGGGACTCTAGGATCACGCCCTGAGCCCAAGGCAGGTGCTCAACTGCTGAGCCACCCAGGTGTCCCAAATCTTGTACTTTTAATTGGTTCCCAGAAACTATTTGTTTCTGTATCTGCATGCCCACAGTAAGAGTAGGAGAGAAATGTGGGGGTGGGGGGGCACATGGAAATCTGTGAGTAGATATTTTGAAACACAGTTGTATTTAGATTATATCAAGGCAGCAGAAACCCCAAAAAGCAAAAGAATTCAAAGCTCAGACAACTAACTGTTCCACCTTAACTATATCCTCTTCTGTCTACTAATTGTAGCTCATGTAATATAGTACATAGTCTTGCCGGATGCTCCAAGGCTCACCATGGCAGAATACAATAATAAGAGAGGCCATGTGCTAACTTCCTTTTTTTAACCCTATGCTCCTTAAGCAGACCTATGTCTAAATGCTTCAGAGATGTGTTTGAGAAATAATAATCGTTGGACTGCAAGAAGCTGTCTGGCCGCTTTGATTCTGAATAAGATTGTCCTTAACTCATTGCATACTACTAACTGCTTGCCCTCTTTCATAATAATATCCAGAGAATAAAATCTAGTAATTCTTCATTAGTCTTTCTAGAACTTTCTTAGGTAACTTGCCTTTTATTATTATTATTTTTAAAGGTTTTACTTATTTATTCATGAGAGACACACAGAGAGAGAGGCAGAGACATAGGCAGGGGGAGAGGCAGGCCTCATGCAAGGAGCCCGATGTGGGACTTGATCCTGGATCCTAGGATCACGCCCTGGGCCAAAGGCAGATACTCAACCACTGAGCTACCCAGGTGTCCCACCTTTTATTATTTAAGAAAGTAGATCCTGCCTCTCTATTACCAAAGACCCCTGATACGTAAAAATATGTCACAATCTGGATAAAATAGCATTCAGTTATTTACATTATTATACTTCCCCAAATTATTTACCCAAGGGCTCCTTTGAGTGGTTATCTCCTCAGTGCAGTTTTTCTTTTGTAGATGTCTTTATTACTTTCTTAATGCCTCAAAATTAATACTATTAACTAATATAATTATAGGTTCACTGTAAATAAATTAAAACATTACAGAGATGTATAATGTAAATAATACAAATTCCTCTCTCCTTTGTACCCTCCCCCAGATAGCCACCAACCATTGGGAGCTTTTCCCTAAAACATTTAATAGAAAGTTTAGTTTGCACACTTTCTCTGTTGTGTGTTGGTTTAAGGGCAGGGAATGCATCTTTTTTAATGGAATAAATGTTTACTAACAGATTTACAATTATATATGTATGTGTGGACTTCTTAGCATTTTTTTTAAGATTTTATTTTTAAGTATCTCTACACCCAGTGTGGGGCTTGAATTCACAACCTTGAGATCAAGAGTCACACACTCAACCAACTGAGCTGCTCAGGTGCCCCTTAGCATTTTTCTTTACTGGGAATCAAGATGTTTCTGTTGAGTCCTGAAATATTTTCACAGGCCTTGATTCGAATTTCCTTGGTTTTGATGATCCTCACAGCTGATTTTTACCCCTTGCTACATCTTTCAGTTGCTTTGATCTGGTTATCAGGGTCTCTAACTTTCCAGATTCACTCTAACTTTGTTCCTTGATTCAGTGTCTTCATCTGCAAAATTAAAAGCCCCAGCACTTGCTGCCTTGCCTGGGAATCCCAAGTATTGTTGAGAAAGCACAGGGAGTGGACACACAGCATGCCCTCATTATTGTGTCCCTTACTGAGATGCCTTGTAGCCCAGGCTGGCTGCTGTACTAGGGACTGCCCTGGGCTGTTGTCCTGGGCTTTGGACTCTTCTTCAGGTTTCATCTATACTCTCTTTGGCTTGGAACTCAGTGAAGGACTCACATGGCAAGGTCTGGCTCTGATTTGAGCACTTAGGTAATCCTTAGAAGCATTTCACCCATCTGTCAAAGATAGATCTGTACAGTGGGGCCCAGGAAGTCTGCTAGTTAAATGAAATGTAATTTAAACTCAGTAGCCAGAGTGATTTTTTTTTCTAAATGGAACTTGAGTAATGGTTCCCCATCCCAAAAAGAGTAAAAGCCAAGGTCATCTAAGTAGTCTACAAGATCCTCCAGGATTTGGCTTCCCATTGGTCCTCTGACATCCTCTCTGACCTTTTTCCCCCTCACTCCTTCCACTTCAGCCACACAGGCCTCCTGGTTGCCTGTGCCAGACGGGCACCTGCCTCACTTGCTGACCCTCTGCTTGGGACACTGTCCCCAGATATCTGCATGACTGGTCCCCTCACCTCCTCAAGTCTTTGCTTACTTGTCTGCTTTGCAGTAGTGCCTTTCTTGATCACCTGAGAAAACAACCTTATCCCCATTGCCTCTGTCCCCCTTCCCTGCTCTATTGTTTGGTTTACCACTTCTCCCCATCTAATATAATATACATGTGCTTATTTATTTCATTTACTGTCTGTATCATACCATTAGAGTGTAAGTGCCATAAGGGCAGAGATGTTTTTGTTTTGTTTAGGCTTAGTAAATATCTGTAAGATGAATGAATACCGTGGGGCAGGTCATTACATTCTGTTCAACCCATTCACTAAGCATCAGTTAGATACTGGGTAGTGGTAGAGCTATAATAGTCTGTCCTCACGGACCCAGCCTCTAAGGATGTTACAGTCTAGTGTCAAGATAGGAGTGTATGTAACCAACTGTAACAAGAGCACAAGGTAAGTAACACAGACAGAGCTCTAAGTCTAGATAAGATGCTGTTGGAGCAGTAAAGAAATGATTCTATTAACAATAACCTCAGCGGGGGGAGAGCACTTAAATTGGGTCTTGGAGGATGAAAAGAAGCTTCTGCAGGTAGAAGATTAGAGGGCGTGTTTGCTTCGGCAGCACATATACTAGAAGGTTAGAGGGCATTAGTAAGTTAAAGAATGGAACTTGGAGGGCAAGGCACTGACAGGTGGTAGGGTGATTTGGGTTGGGGGGAAGGCAAGTAAAGAGAAGTGGGGCCTTGCCTGGAGCTGCATGAAGAAGGGTGTCAGTGAGAAGCAAGGGATAGCATGTGGTTTGGAAAGCTCTTTCTAGTGGTAGTATAGAGGCTGGATGACAGAGAAATGGTGGGGATAACTGACGAGGATGTGGGGAAGCCAGTAGAGACTCTTGCTAAGATCTAGGCAGACCAGATAGTGGTCTGGGCCACTTTTGTGATAGTGGAGTGAAAGAAGAAGTGGGTGGATGTGGTGGAGACTGTCAACATACAATCAAGAAAATTCGCTGACAATTTGTTATGAGCACAAGGAAAGAGGTGAAGATAACTCCAAGTCTAGGGGTTTAGCTTGAGGGTGAGCTCTTTAAGGGCATGTAGTATCATGTACCTAGCCAGCCAGCAAAGGGTAATTTTTTGCCACAACTGGGCCATCAGGCTCTGTCCTGGACTCTGGTGAGGCACAGAAATATAGACATGTTCATAGTCTAGTGGGGGGGCAGATCTCTTACCATGTAGCATGAGAAGTTCAGTGATAGAGTTAAATGCAGGGTGCTATGAAGAGTGGCGAGCAGAAGAGGGATGCCTGACTCACTGGACATGCAGGTCAAGGGGGATTTATTCGTCCTTGTCAACTTTCTGTCTCCATAGGACCTCATACAGTGCTTTAGGCACAGGAAATATAGGAAATGATACGCACTGAACTCCATTAATAGAGAAGATGGGATGAGGAGGGTATGTGTGAGTGTGTGTGTTGGGTGGGTGGTCAGGACCGAAGATGAGGAGTTGCTTTGGACATGTGGAGTGGAGGTGCCAGAGAGTCATAGTTGTGAAGATCTGCAGCAGGTAGTTATCTTTCCAGATTTGGAGTCTGAGGGAGAGCTAAAAGCTGGCGATGAAACTGAGAACTGACAGTATAAGGTGAGAGGCAAGAAAGTATAAACTGCATAGCCGGTCAACAGCAGAAAGAGTGTGCTGTGGGTGGAGAGGTTGTCAGAGGCTCTGTGGAGGAGGTAGGGCTTGAGCCAAGCCCTCAAAGACGGGTAGTCTGTGGATAGGCCCAGATGAGAGGGGAGGGTGATCCAAGTCGTAGCAATGCATGGGGGCAGGACAAAAGCCACAGAGGATCTGTGGTAGGATTGAGTCAAGGGAGCCTGGGGGATGGTGGAGGAGATCAGCTTGATGGAATGAGCTGTTGTTGGGAAGGAGGTGTTGAGCCTTTGTTGACCTGAATTCTTTCCCATCCCAACTTGTGCTGCCTTCACAGAGTACGGAGTAGGCCAAAACCCATTGAGGAGGCTGCTGAGGGACATTTTAAGTTCTATGCTCTGCTGTTTTGTCTGGTTTAGAAAATGCTTGTCAATTTTTAATGTCTGTCCATGAAATTCATACTGATATATAAGCTTAGGAAAGGTTTGTCTTTAAGGAGTTAAAAAAATGACTCAAAGGGGCCCCTGGGTGGCTCAGTCGGTTGGGAGTCTGCCTTTGGCTCAGGTTGTGATCTCAGGGTCCTGGGATCAAGTCCCATATCAGGCTCCCTGCTCAGCAGGGAGTCTGCTTCTCCCTTTCCCTCTGTGCTCTCTCTCTCTCTCAAATAAATAAAATCT